GACGGAAACGGTAGAGCCGCAGCCATGTACCACGTTTTTGGGCGCGATCCCTGGAGTCAATCGGCGAGCGCGGCGCTATGGCGCATGCTGGGGTGGATGCCGTCCTGATTGCTGGCTAGGATACCAAGTGACGCTCGGTATATAACACTTGAGCGCCCTAGCCTTTTGGTTCAGTCAAACTCAAAGTCCAACAGAGCAGCAACTACCAGCCTTACATCAAGACCCTCGACCCCCAATACAATCAAAAGCACCCATCGGAACATTCCAACACCACCAGCCAACATGTATCAAAACCTTGGACGCACACCCAACTGGGACACTTGCTTCAAGCAAGTCCAACTCACTGAGGAGAACCTACAACTACACACCGCTACACACAAGAAGGTGTGTCTTGACTCGAGAACAGTTCATCGGTTCACTGCTAACGATGTCAAAGGTTGACAGCGCTTGTCAAATGGATGACCAACTCTACTACCGATACGATGGTGACTTCGCCGAGTCAGACGACGGCAACGTGGAAACCCAAAGAGAGACCATCGCCTTGAGGAGAGCCGCGTCACTGGAGGTGTTGAAGGCGTACGGTGGATGCTTCGCTTCCGGCTTCCTCGCTCTTCAAGAACCCCTCCCATCACGACCAAAATCGAAGCTCAGGTCATACGAGAGCGCGTACAGCGTCGACATGTCAAGAACCGCCTCAAACGCCACATCACTCGAGACGGCGTCAACTAGCTGGAGCAGCAACGTCGACACGCCACGACCAGACTCATCAACTCTGGGCGTACCCGTGCAAGAAATGGAGAAGGGATCAAAGTGGAGCTGGAGAGGCATGAGGAGAAGCCGAAAGCAGGCAGCAAAGAAGCTCGAAGTCTAAAAAAGTCATCTATTACCGTCGACCAGCTGGTCTTGCATTTTATTTGTCTACTTGCGTGTTAGCGAAGGCGTTGGGGTTTACGGATACCATTCAAGACTGCGCAACCATCTCTTTTGTCACGATGCCAATGGCCGAACTACTCAAAATTCTACGAAAAAGCACGACTTTGTAGTGTATAATGTATATATCACAAAAAGACAGACTCGACGAGTCGTTTGACAACCCCCACACTCTCCTACCTTGCAACTTGTGTGCTTGTGCAGTGCTTCTGGTAGGCATCCGAAGACCGGCCGGCGTGCAGACGGCCGAGCTTGGAGAGCCGGAAGTGAACATCAGACGGAAAAAGTCGCACGTTGGATGAGATTCGGAGACGGCCATGAGCAGATGCAGCGCAGGTCGACGGACATCTAGATCTGCTGACCTGATGGGGTAATATTAGGCGACAGCCTCAGCTGGCTCCCGAGCTATGAGTAAGAGGGAGAGTAAGTTCTGTTCGGAGGTCACGATGGAGTTGCGGGTGTAGTGCGGACTGCTGGCTCCCGTGGGGGAAGGCCTGCAGGCTGACGGACACGCAGCGCCTGACCCCGGCAACCGAGCCAGTAACAGCAGGCGCGTCGCTCGAGGAAGGTGCGTCCGGAGTTAGGCAGGAGAAAAACAAAGGCGCCGCACACAAGGCATTGAAGCTCAACAGATGAGATTCGAAACACGCGGATTGTCGAACGAGGACATCGTGCCATGACGTACTGGTGGGGCACTATGATGAGGCGGCAGAGGTCGGCGCGCGCGTGCAAGTCGCGATGGTGATGAGGAGGAAGAAGTACCCCAGGGGTTCAGGGCAGCACGGGGCCTTTTGGCAGTCTTCGCTCAGCATCATCATGCCGCCTGGCTGTCGCATTGATAGCAGTCACGCCGCCTGCGTCTGGCACGATGCAGCTGCTTCACCGCCTGGTCTGTCATTGCCTATCGTGATAGCAGACCCACCACTGACGCCTGCTGCTATGCCCTCTGCTGCCATCGGCGGACCTGCCGGCCTTGCAGCGCTCAAAACTGCTACCTTCGCCCGTTGCATATCCATCTTTTCCCTCCAGTCCTACGCTGCACCCGCCACCTAGACTAGCACTACCAGCATATCGTCGTGTGACCGCCGCCCGCCGTTCCCTAGATTCTGAAGCATCTTGATACAAAGGTGCCGCCCCACCCCCACCCTCGCCGTCAACCACCCTCGTAGCTAACGCTGGCCAGTACCTACGCCATACATAGCACATCTTCACCACCACAACACCCACTACCACCACACTCCTTGACTGGTGTCGTCGCCCCACCGCCCCCGTAGCATGAGCTCGCAATCTTCCAAGCCCCGCCGAACCTCGACTGTTCTCGACCCGTACGCTGCACCGCACGTCTACTATGGCGAGAGTCACTCGAAGAAGCATGCCAGAGCCAGGACCTACTCAGCCGTGAGTCCCGCGCTCCTTCCTGCGTCTAATGTCATGACGAGACTAATTGAGTGCAGAACGTAGACAATTCCACGCGTAATGCTCCATTGGCCGAGGGCGCCATTGCTGGTCGTCGCATCAGTCACGGTACGTACCTTGCACCGCACCCACGCCGCGCCATTGGCTGACAAGACCAGATGAAATCTCCCTGCAGCCTCGCCGCTTCAAGATAAACGTCGAGGAGACGCTCCACCAGCTTCTCACCCGCGAAGATTCCGACGGCAACTACCAGATCACAATCGACGACAAGGGTCCGAAGGTACGATGCTCTGCAGTTACACGGGGAGCATGGCTGACAATACACAGACCATTTCCCTTGGTACGCTCGGCTCCAATGCCTTCAAGAAGCACGACGTCCGCGGCACCTACATGCTCTCGAACCTGCTCCAGGAGCTCACCCTCGCCAAAGACTACGGCCGCAAGACCATCGTGCTCGACGAATCGCGATTGAACGAGAACCCCGTAAACCGCCTGAGCCGCCTCATCCAGTTCTCCTTCTGGGACGGCCTCACCCGCCGCATCGATGGCTCCAACATTGCGAAGGTCGGTGTCGACCCCAAGGACTGGACAGACGACCCACGGCCGCGTATATACATTCCTCAGGGCGCGCCTGAGCAGCACGAGTACTACACCCGCATTGCTCGTGAACACCCCGAAATGCGTCTCGACGTCGTCTGGCTGGACAAGGACTGCGACAACGACGATTACGTGCGCGACTTGAACAAGGCACCCGGCCTGCTCGCCATTGCCATGGAGGAATGGATAGATCCAGAGACGAAAAAGAAGGACCTGAGAGGCCTGCCTTTCGTCGTCCCTGGAGGCCGTTTCAACGAGCTGTACGGATGGGACAGCTACATGGAGTCGCTTGGTCTCCTCGTCAACGATCGCGTCGACCTGGTCAAGTCCATGGTCATTCACTTCTGCTTCTGCATCAAGCACTACAACAAGATTCTCAACGCGAACCGTACATACTACCTCTGCCGATCCCAGCCACCCTTCCTCACCGACATGACTCTGCGATGCTACGAACGCATCAAGCACGAGCCTGACTCCAAAGAATTCCTGCGCAACGGTATCCTTGCTGCCATCAAGGAATACCACTCGGTTTGGATGAGCGCGCCGCGCTTAGACCCTGTCACTGGACTCACCAGGTACCGACCTGGCGGAAGAGGTGTGCCACCCGAGACGGAGGCCAGCCATTTCCACCAAGTCTTGATGCCGTATGCCGACAAGCATGGTATGACATTTAAGGAATTCGTCGATGCATACAACAACGGAAAGGTCAACGAGCCTGAGCTTGATGATTATTTCCTACATGACCGCGCTGTGCGTGAATCCGGCCACGATACCTCCTACCGTCTGGAGAGGGTCGCAGCAGACCTCGCCGTCGTTGACGTCAATGCGCTGCTCTACAAGTACGAAGTCGACATTGGTCGATGCATTCGCAACCATTTCAACGACAAGCTCGAAATCCCAGAGGGATTCCGCACTGGCGACATGAAGCCTGGTCATATTGAGACTTCTTCCACATGGGAGCGCCGCGCTAGAAAACGCCGCGTTAATGTGGACAAGTATCTCTGGGACGAGGAGGCAGGCATGTACTTCGATTATAACACGGTCAAACAACAACGCACCGGTTACGAGAGTGCCACTACTTTCTGGCCCATGTGGTCCGGTCTCGCCACTCCGCGTCAAGCTAGCATTCTTGTCGAGAAGGCTTTGCCTAAGCTGGAAGCCTTCGGAGGACTTGTTTCGGGTACAGAGAAGTCGCGCGGCAAAACTGGACTTGACCGCCCCAACCGTCAGTGGGATTATCCATTCGGTTGGGCGCCGCAGCAGATGCTTGCCTGGGTCGGTATGCAGCGATACGGCTACGATGCGGAAGCCCAGCGTCTGGCCTACCGCTGGCTCTTCATGGTCACCAAGGCATTTGTTGACTTCAACGGCGTTGTCGTTGAGAAGTACGATGTCACAAGGAAGATTGATCCTCACAAGGTTGAGGCCGAATACGGTAACCAAGGCAGCGACTTCAAGGGTGTTCCTCGTGAAGGGTATGTTTCTTCTCACATCAGTTTACTAGTTCATGGCTAACATGTCACAGCTTCGGATGGGTCAACGCAAGTTACATCTACGGTCTCACGCTCCTCAGCGCACACCAGCGTCGTGCTCTCGGTGCTTTGACCGATTGGGACAGCTACGCCAAAGCCATGGAGGACCTTGGCATGATGTAAAACGACTCCTGCTTACTTTGTTACGACTTCACGAGATGCATCTGCATGAGATGTTGGGTCTGCTTCGTTGTTCGTATTAGAGGCGCAGTGGAAAATGAACCCGGGTTGCGTTCATGAGGGTTGTCAGCGAGTCTGTATAGGGATGGGGTGGACATATCAGCACAGCACGTGTATTGTTTGCAGAAAGCGAAACTGATGAGACTTTTCGGTACGGTACCAGGAGTCGATCTCGGCACGATGGCCTAAGCTATACCTATGATCAAATGAAACACATCATTAACTGTCCATTGTCTTGCTTGGCTTTACCAGTAAGGTTTCATTTCATTTCACGTCTGCTTGAGAATTACAGTACTCAACAGGAAAGTATTCGAGGTCCCCATTTGCATCGTCTCGCTTTCCCATTTAGAGGTTGACGTCGTTATCGATGTATGGGTCATGCACCTTATTCGATGACTCGCTCTGCGCCTTGCTCTCCTTCTGCTCCTCAAGCTTGGCGTCATACTTCTTCTGAAGCTCCTGTAGCGAAGTCTCAAGCTCGGCAATCCTCTTCTTATCCTCTTCACTCTTGTCATCATCAAGGGGCATGTAATGACCAGAGTACGCGTTCCAGAGGATGTCGTACTTTATCTTGAGTTGGTCGAACGTCCAGGAGGGGTCTCGTTTGATAGGCGGAGTGGTGGACATTGTCTGCTGCTGATAAATCGGTAGATGGTAGTTGACGAGATCGGGATATGCGAGCAGACTGTGCTCTTTATGCGCTTTCGCTGATATTTGTGCTATCATGGCAAGCGAAGTACGTCGTGAATTACACGCATGACATAGCAAACCGTGAACAATCGATTCGGTTGTGATGAGGTTATCAAATTAGACTACCCTACACGTCGCCAATCACAGTATAGGATTGCCGATCCTCTCATTCCCCAATCTGCTTTAGAGTCCCTCTCTGGTCTTACTCAGGCGGTCCATCGCACAATGGCGGCGAAGCACTAGGTTCCTTAGGCGGCACTTCCCTCTTTCCCTCCACCCTCTCCGCCTTGACAAAAACCGGGATAACACCACCCGTCTCAAGCGCAAACGCCCTGTGCCCAAGCACCTCAAGCATACTGCCAATCGCCCCCGAGTGACTAGTAAAACTCAACCACACATTCTCATCGGAAGCGAAAACATCGTCCAGAAACGTGGCTAGGCGGTACCGTCTTGCAGATCGCGGCTCCCTATATCCAGCTTCCCAGAGGAGATCTTCGTTTGAGAATCCGGGTTCGAAAGTGAGAGGTGGGTCCGTGAAAGTGGCCTTGATGTGCGCGGCTGTGCTGCGGCGATCGCATGTGTGTACGCCGAGGGCTTCGCGGACGAGTTCTTTGATGAAGGGTTCGTAAGGGCGTGATTCGGGAAGAGGAAGGGACTTGAAACTCAGGTTTGCTGTTTCGATTGTGCGGGTTAAGGGCGAGACGTAGTATGTTTGTGGGGGTGGAATGCCGAGGGGCAGTTGTTCGGCCCATAGCTTGTTCACGGCGAGAGCTTGGTCTTGGCCTACGGTGGTGAGGTTTGCGTCGGCCCAGGTTATGCCGTCGTAGCCGTCGAGGGCGGCGTAGTAACACTTGTTGTATATGTTAGCATTTCAGCTCTTCCATAAAGGGTACTCGGGGAGGTATATCTCCTGAGGAGAGACAGTGCTGGGAGGCGGATCAAACTTACATCCCAAGCTTTCGTCCCATACTTCGTCTCTGCGACGTTATGCCAACCCTGACCATGACGACCCAGAAAGAGTACTTTGTAACTCTCACCCTCTTTCTTCGCAGCTTCCAGACTGGCCAAATATTTCTCAAGACGCTTCCATTGCTGTTCGTCGCTGTCATCTTCTTCCGGGTAGGAACGGTCGATCAGACCAAAGTTTTGCGTCTTCTAGTAGGGATGTTAGCCAGCTTCTTCGGATCCCAGATTGAGGGGACGTGAATGAATGGATGGAATGACTCAATCCCGCAATTACGTAGTTGCGTGTGAAGCTTGGAGGAGAAGGAATTGAACGTACGAAATCAAAACTCTTGTCATCAGTCTCGTCTTCACTCTGCATGAAAACGCCCTTTTGCACCGTGTACTTGAAGTGGTAGTCCAACGCCGGCTCTGCCGGGACAGGAACCGTGGATGTGTGATCTGTGGTACTCATGTTGAAGTAGAACAAGAAGATGAGCAGGATAGAGAGAAAGACGATTGGTCTGGGAGAGGTTAGCGCAGGCACTCTCGTGGGAACGTGCGCTGGTGAAGTTGGAAGGCGCAGTAGGGCTAGGATGGGTACGTTGTTTACATGGGGATGCCGACACCACAAATCTTTGTTTTGTGCGAGTATGAGGGTATGAGCATTATACGGGAGGATCGCAGGCTATCATGTTGTTGCTGTGCTGTGAAGATAGGCGGCGGGCTGTCGATTGTAACGGTGAGTCGCTAGCTAGCACGAGCCAATCATGTAATTGGGCCGCATCACGATATACATGTCGGTGCACATGTCGGTGCACTCAAATCTGTCTAGCATCGGGGTCTAAGGGGTGGAGATTCGCTCGCCGCATAGGAGAATACAAGCGGAGGATTTAATGCGATGCTGCGCATCATGTAGCTTCGATGACGTCAATTGCATGTTCGGAGGCAACGTATTGCGTGCGCGTAAATCGTAGTTTTATCTAGTTTCTACAGCTGCTCAATGAGACTGAGCTACAAAGCCCGCGCAGTACAGGCTAGGCCGTAGCTATCGTACGCTGTCCACCATTGTGGTATTCTACCGTGATGTCCATCAAACGCCCATCCCAAGCCCGCTAATTCAGAAGAGACTTATCGCAGCCGAAGCCGACTTTTAGAAGCGGAATGCATCGCAAAATCGCAACCTGAGTGTGTACTTGCGCCCGGTCTGCGACCTTAGCAATGACCCGCTCATTTCTTCTTCGGGAACTTGGGCTGCCCCATCTTGTCACCCCGTAGGATGACGTTGAGCACGCGCTCCATGTTTCCTAGCAGCTTCTGGTCTGGTGTTGCTGTGCCGCGCTCAAAGTCTGCGATGATGGTGGGTGTGCTGTTGCACTTTGTAGCCAGATCCTTTTGCGTCATAGTTGTGCCCTTGTCGTTCTTTGCCTCGGAGCGCGCCTTAGCGATGGCTTGGCCGACGGCGATACCAACGGTCTTGGGCTTGACGATGTCATCGGAACGGTCGACTTTGGTGAGGCGCTGGCCTTCTGACGAAGCTCCCTGTGGCTGGTCGGTCAGTATTGTTTTGAGTGAACTTAAGGCAATCACGAAGAACCAAGTTTTAGAACCAAGTTGGACGTGTAAGGAGTACTCACGGCGTTGGCAGATGCGAACTTCTTTTCTGTGGCGACGATACCGCCGCTACGTTGGGCAGCGTTCAGAGCTGACTTGCCCTTGACTACGGTTTCGCGGGGTCCGGCAGCGCCACCACGAGTGCGGCTACCGATCTTGGTAACGGAGTTCCAGTCGTCAGACATCTTGAATGTGGTGTTGAAGAGTAGAGGCTGAGGTTGTGGTTGTCGGGTGCGGAAGGCTGAGTTGGGCGCAGATGTGGGGTGTCCTCTTGAAATGGGTGATTGTTCGTCGATGGATTTGTCAGTCGGCGAACGTGGAAGAGAGAAAATGTAATGTGGATGTGAAGGGCTTTGTAGTAGAGAGGATCGAGCTTTTGCTTATGTAGAGGCCCAAAGAGCAATGTGTGACCGCGATGAGTCGGAGCGGCAGGTGAGGTCACCGCCACGCGCTAAACTCGCTTAGGACAGGGTCTCTCGAAGCTTCCACGATCGCTTCAGCCCTTCAATGTTCTTCCGCCCTTCTTTCACCGAACAATCACGACATTCAATGTTCGTTTGCAATCGCTAATACGAGCGCACTCATTGTGTGTCACAACTCATCGTTGCTAGCTACCAGTCATTGAAGTCAGCCGCTGTGTTTGGATTATAGGTCGTTGACAAATATTTTTCTTTCGCGTCTCACATTGCGCTCGACGGAGTGAGCAGCATCGACGCGTCTTTATCCCTTGGTACTCTGTGTACCTACAACCTCTTCAGTATACGTCGTCCTTCCTTCTCGATGATGGACTCGTTTGTCAAAAGCAGGAAGATCAGCTACCAACCCGCTCCAAGCCCTTTGCTTGTACTTTTGACCGAATGCTTGGGTGTCTGCTCCTTATGGGCAGGCGCTGGTGCTTGGGGCGGGACATATATAAATTACAATGGAAATGTGCATCAGGATATTGCTTGAAGTTTTCATTGATGAGGTACATGTGCTCAGGCGCTTAGATGAAGTGTCTATGTGTGCCCTGATCGCTCATGAACTTTTGACAAACGCTCGTCTAATCTTGACAAGCACCCAACCCGACCGCCGGAACGCCATTGCATGCATGCAGCCATATCGAACCATATCAACCATTCTTCGTGAGGTCATACTATTACAAGTTCGACTGCGACTGCGCGACCTCCCGCTCAACCTCGTACATGAAGTCAAAGTATGGCTTGTCGAAGTGGTGCACACGCACGTAACCGTCCTCTCCTCCACTGCAGTAGCTGGTTCCTTGTGGGTGTACGGCGACGTAGTTGAGGGGACCGAAGTGACCACGCACACGACCAATCTCCTCCATGAAAATCTTGTGGTAGAAACGGGCCTCGAACTTTCCTTGACGTGCCGAGGTTGTGGTGACATCCATGGCTGCTTGTCCTCCACCAAGAATTACGTAGTCCTTTACGGGTGTGATCGCGGCGGAGTTGAGGGGTGTGTCGGCAACGTATGATTTGAGGACGTTGAGCTCTTCGACGTCGACGAGCTTCGCGGTCTTGTCCTTGCTGGCGGTTATGAAGTAAGTTCGGTCGGGAGCCCATTGGATGTCGGCTGCACATTGTTAGCTTCCATTCCAGCCAAAGAGGTGTGCATGACACTCACTGATTTGCATGTCTGGCTCATGAACGTCGTAGTTGGAGCTGAGCAGCTCTCCAGTCTTGCCATCCCACTGGGTTATTGAGCCGTCCTCGTGTCCACTGATGATGTACTTTGCGAGGTATGAGAAGCCAGCGACTGTCGCCTTGGACTCGTCGCATACGATCCTGAGCAGCTGCTCGTCCGACTGTTGCGCTTCCGGGTCGGGGTTGATGGGGTAGACGCAGATGGTGGAGAGATGTCCTGATCGCTTCTCGGTGACACCAAGAAGCTGTCTGCCGTCGGGCGAGAACTCGCAGCGCTTGATACTGGTGTTGAATTCCCAGGTGTGAAGAAGCTTGCCCGTCTGCACATGCCATAACCTCATGGTGTTGTCTGCTCCACCGGTAGCCAGTAGCTCAGAGGATGGGTTTACGTCGACCGTCCATAGCGCTCCCTGATGTCCGTGGTATGTTCCGATTCGCTCGCCGTTGTGTGAGTCTGCATCGCATCAGCTTCTATTCGCATTCCTCTTGTACAGGTTGTTTACTAACACCAGGCGCAAACGACGTGGTCCTACAAAAATCAGATTCCGCGCATCAGAAGACCGGGAGGAAAACGTACCTTGGATACAGAGAAAATGATATCTCCATCTGCGTTGTACTGTATGCCATTAGTTTCCTCGTCCCTCATCCTACGCACGGCGCATGCGAACCTTGACTTGCGTGAGCGCACGCTCGTGACCGGAGAGAAGAATGGGCCTCATGTTTGTGATGGGTGTGTGGAGGCGGGGTGGTGTGTCGGCTTATATGTGGCGGGCGGCGTCTCGAAATTTGGGTGACTCTTGTGCATATCGACGTTCAGCGGGCGAAGTGGGCTGC